GGTCCTGACTTCGAAATTTTCTGATAGAACATTCCCTTCACCATCTCTGCTATCTGATAACATTGCAAATCCAGGTCCACCTCTATTGACAATGAGGAAAACAATTGATGCCTTCCATCAGGAAAGTCTTTCTCCTTTTTATTTAAATTTCACATTGGGGGACAATGTTTCGCTTAAGTTTGAGGGATGACATTAATTGCCCATATCGTTTAGTCTCTTAAATGCTTCTATGTGATTTGCTTGTTTTGTGTGTTAAAAAAAATTACATGCTTGAGCGAGTTAGAAAATTTGTCGGTTATGATGTTTATAATTGAGAGTATGTATTAGTTTGTAGATTGTGGAAGAATTATATGTTTTATTTGAATTTTCTACTTATCTACATAAAACATTACAATATTTATACACGATAATTAAGTTTAGCATCATACATGATCATGAAAGTTCATGAGCATAGGCCTAATAGAGACTTAGGTGTTTAATCTCTTAACCCATGATTCACAACATCCTTTAACTATATACATTATAATTTGGAACATTCTAATCAATAAAAGAGATTATTTGTGATAGTTGTGATTTTATGCATGTGAAAAAGATTGGGTAGAATGTCTGTGAGTTTCTAATATGAGCTTGTTGATTACCGAATGCTAGGAATCTAGACCTTGTAAATTGTGTTTTCATTCAATAGAAAATAAGAATGACACTTATTCAGTCTATGCTTTATGCTTGCACCTTTTTTACTCGAGTTAGTAAGTCCGTGGGATATCTTGAAACCTAGTACCTTTGGTATTCAAAAATTAGGGAGTTACCGACTTAGCTTGCTATAGGGGTCAAGAAGAGGGAAAAAATGGTGAAGTCAACATGAGCTAAAAAAATTTGATACAAGTGCCCAAAGAACTAATTGTTAGGGCCCTAGATAACTAGTGGATATGAATCATTTAGTATAAACTACATTGTTAAAACACTAAAAAACTGGAAGAATCATCACATGAATAAATTGTTGATATTGTCGGTTGAACAAAACCAAATTAAATTTGTGTAAGCATTCAATAAATGAAACTAAACTTTAGAATTACACCATGGTGAGAGAATGAAAAAAGTTTGGGGTTTGTGAATCTCACGAGTGAATAAATGAAATAATTGACCATTGAAGGTTTGGAAGTGAACCAACTTATGAATATACGACATTACACTTGATTCTTCACACACACACACACACCCGCTTTGCATTGAATAAGTGAAAGTTCGGCTCTTACATTGTGATTTCGAAGTCATTCATGAATGTGATACTATGTTCTCAACATAGTGCAAAAAATGCAAGCTATCTGACTAATTGTTTGCGTGTGTATTTTCTTTCAGTGACTTTCTTTTTCGTTGTGTTTTGTTTGCTCTAGGACTAGCAAATTGTTAAGTTTGGGGATATTTGACGAGTGTGTTTTAACTCATGAGTTTTCTAGAGTTTTAACTTGATTGTTATCTAGATCTTATGAGTATAGAATGTGTTTTGATGTATTTCCTATTGTTGTTTCAAAGGTAGATGACGTGGTGTAAAAGGATACTAAAGTGAACAAAGAAGAAGTTGCCCTTAGATAGTAAGGCAGTGCCTTGGGTTTACACTCATAATGCCTAAGCGCAACCCAGTCTATGAAGGCCTAGTCCAGGAGTTCTATGCCAATTTCAACACTAAAATATATACTCCAGGTTCAGAACATCTGTATCAATCATGGGTAAGGAGAAAATGGATTATATTCTTACCTAAAATCATTCATGACTACTATCAACTGTCTTGGAACAACATGGTCGCCATCTTGGGTAATTTCCATTGGAATGAGGTGTTCAAGGTATTACTTCGGTGTGAAAATGCATGGCCCCTTCAAATTATTGAATGACACTAGATTGAGCTCACACATTTTATAGCCATTCTATGGCTATTTATGTGCCATAATATTGAGCCCACCACACATCAAATGACATTTACTGTTCCAAAATTGATCTTACCACCTTCATTTACAATCAGATACATACACTCAAAACATGGAGAGACAAATAGTGTTCACTAATCTTCCGGAGCCTAATCAGCGGTATTTGCAGGGCTGCAAGCTTCACAATCCCATCTGGTTAAATGCCTAAAAAACCTAGCCCCTTCATCAAGCACACCACATTAGAGGCTTAAGACAGTACTAGGGATAGGTACAAGGAAAATACGGAGAGGGATCGATGCAGCCAGCAGTAGGCCGAGCCAGGACAGGCACCTGAAGACATGAAGATGCCATAAGCTCTACCACACATGCTACTATAAACACAAAGCGGCCGAGACAGATCTTTTCCACGATGACAGGTACGAGCCGAGACATTTAGAGCTTTCAGCAGGCATTCGGGGCCATATGTATTAATATAGAATGGGTGCATGGTGAGATGTCTGCCACTCGAAATTTTGCATTGAATGCCAAGAGAGAATCCTGTCACAACCCCATTTATATAGATAAATATACATTACCCTGCGTGGGAATGAACTTGATAACTTGACCTGGACATAGAATTCCACATATTTTTTTCACCCGATAATACGACATAGGCATTCTCACAAGTGTGTCCTTGTTTGTTAACTCGTAGTCACATGTGAAGATCATATATTATATCCGAACCAAAATTATATGACCATAATCCAACATATATATTATGAGGTTATAAGTAATTCTACAGGCCATGTCAAAAGATATGCAAAACAGAATCTCCAACAATAGACCATAAGCTCAAAAAACAACCTACAAAATAACCCTACAGGTCGTCATCCATGTACATTGAACTCTGAAATCTCGTAAGAGCTCCACAACTAGCCGTGCTCTCTATGTCATTTCGGGCTCACCTACAATGCAAGAACTACATAAGCCAATGCTTAGTAAGCAAAAATCATGCATGTCATGAATATGAACAATAACAATATATGCCACTATGCCATTTACTTTAAACATCACAATAAAGATGCATCATATTCCAATATTCATCAAAGTCAAGTCGAAATCATTTCATTTGAAATCTTTCATTTCATTGGCCCTTGACCCACCTACTATGCACACGATAGAGCTCTGTATAATAGCAATATCAATAAGTAAATGTCCAATATGAAATCGACACCGACGAGTGGACCATCCTCTCGTGACCACTAGAGACCTATCCCCTAACTATCCCTATGATCACCCAAGAAGTCTCCTACCTAACAATGCCAATAACCATAATATCACAAGGGCACAATCGAGTGGTCCACCCTCCCGTGATCACCAAAGGCCCATCCACTGTCTATTTTTGCAATCACCCAAGAAGTACTACCCATGATGCCAAACATGTCATATAAGCATATCTTACATGCCTCGGTGCCCTAGTAGTGGTCAATAAGACATTTACAAAGAAAACTCAATTTGAAATCATGTTTCGCATGCAAGATTTTTAACCATGATCATATGTCATGCATGCATATGAAAATACTCATGAATGACATAATTAATGAAAATCGATGTTAATAGGTTCTACAACCGCATCCTCAACGATCATAACCATCATATGATGTACACTAAGCCTCTTATCAAAGTTATGTAAATATTTCAATACTTCCCTATCACAAATACTAAGTTCTTGCATCGTAGCTGGAAATGGATTTTTATTTAACTTTTGCCCTTGTGTGTGCAAGCTCCTACGGAGTGTATCAATTTTCTTTTTCGTTCAACGTCAACAAATCACCCGTATTACCATCTAATATTAAAGACAGTCCTCATTTAATAACCTTAACACACACAACCCTAAAATACGTCCATTCACACCAAAATAATTTAGACGAATTCATCATTTCAAGTCACTGATGGCATTACAAAATAGTCCCATAAATCTCACTATTTCCCGAGTCCAATTATGGACGTCAATGTCATCCAATTTTTGTCAATAACCTAATACTCCTTAGAATCTATTTCTAGGCCCAAGAGATGATTAATGGATCTGTAAAGGTTGAAAAGACATTAAACAAGAAAATGGATAGAATCTATTTTTCAGGTTTCCATCACCGTCCAACTATTTTTCCAATCCTTTTTCACCCCCTTAACTATATCCAACGAATCCCAAATTTTTACCACACTTCTATAACATATGTGAAGGTAATCATACCTTAAAGTCGTGACAAGTGAAGAGTTTTCAGCCTCAAAAACCATCCTTTTTTCACCATACCAAATCAGGCAGTTTTATTTTCCTTATGACAGTTTTCAGCTTTTTGTTTTATTAGTATGCTACAAACAAAACACTAGGCCATTAACATCATTTCTGAAGGGTTTTATAGGTCATGGAAAACTAATAATAGCCTCTCCTTTACTTGGATCTACATGTCCCAAAATACAACTCTGTCTAGCCAAAATTCACATTTCTTAAACTTAGCATATAACTGCTTGTCCTTTAAGACCTAAAGGACTATTCTCAATTATTTAGCGTGTTCCTCTTTAGTACGAGAATAACTATGGATACCATCAATAAATACAATTACAAATTTATCGAGAAAGTCTCCAAATACTCGATTCATCAAATCCATAAAAGCTGCCAGGGCATTTGTTAACCCAAATGGCATCACCAAAAACTCATAACTGCCATATCTCATACTAAATGTTGTCTTAGAAGTGTCATCTTCTTTTATCTTAAGTTGATGGTATTTAGATCGCAAATCAATCTTCAAAGATACAGATGCGCATCAAACAAATCATCAATCCTCGGCAATGGGTATTTATTTTTAATTGTCACCTTATTCAACTCTCGATAATCGATACACAATTTCACTATACCATCCTTCTTACGAACAAATAATACTGGTGCACCCTATGGTGAAAAGTTGGGTCTAATAAAACCTTTATCTAACAACTCTTGTAATTGTAACTTCAACTCTTTCAATTCAGTTGCGACCATTCAATATGGAGCCTTGGAAATTGGAGATGTTCCTGGAATTAAATCGATCACAAACTCTATCTCACGATCTATGGTACCCCAGGTAAATCATTAGGAAATACCACTGAAAATTCTTGTGCCACAGGCACATCACTAAGATTCGAATTGTATTGTGCTCCAATAGCCATAATGCTAACCAAATATCCAATGGTCCCACTATCTAGTAACCTTTGTGCTTTCACTACTGATATAACACAAAGTCTGAAACTTCTTCCAATCCCACTGATTGTGAGTCCATTTTCCAAAGGCTGGAAGGTTACTAACTTCCTCTTACAATCTATAGTAGCTTGATATTTTGACAGCCAATCCATACTCAAAATTATATCATAATCTTTCATATCTACCACAATTAAATTTGCATAGAGCTCTCGATTTTTCATAAAGATCACACATGCTCTTACAATCAAATTGGTTTGTTGTACATCTTCTGATATAATAGTTACACTATAGCTGATCTCTTGCATATCAGGTGTCTTACCCAACCTCCTCACATATTCAGTAGACATAAATGAATGAGTAGCTCCAGAATCAAATAACACAAGTACTGGGATGCCAAAAATAGAGAATTTACTTGTTATCACTGATGGATTTGTCTCGACATGTGATCTGGTAATATTAAACACCCTAGTTGTCACTTTCCTTTGCTCCATTGGGTTTGGATTACTTGGGCATGCTCTAGCAAGATGTTCCACCTTTCCAAAAACATAACATGTCATAGTCTTTATAGGACATGCTCCATTATGCTGTCCACCACATTTAAGGCAAGATGGTTGTGCTGTTAAGGCTTTTTCTTGATCTATCCTTGGACGCTTGCCTTGATCCCACATTTAGGGCAAGAAGCACACTCTACCGCTTATACAACACATCCAGGCAGTACAAAAATGTATCGAGACGTTCGAAATACATTTTGGTGGAGAAATATGAAAAGAGAAATAGAACTTTTTAGAAGTAAATGTATGGTCTGTCAGCAAATAAAAGCTGAACATCAGAGACCTTTAGGGTTGCTTAGACCACTAGAAATACCGGTGTGGAAATGGGAACTCATTACAATGGATTTCTTGGTGGGATTTTCTAGATCGCTAAAGGGGACAATGCTATCTGGGTAATAGTGGATCATCTTACAAAGTCAGTCCATTTTCTTCTAGTTAAGATGACATTTACCATGGAACAATATGCACAGGTTTATGTCAAAGAAATAATCAAGTTATATGGGGCTCCTATTTCTATTATTTTAGATAAAGGCCCGAGATTCACGTTAAAATTTTGGCGAAGTCTACAAAATGCTAGGGGAACAAAACTAAAATTTAGTACTGCATATCACCAATAGACTTATGGACAATCCGAAAGGACGATTCAGATACTCGAAGATATGTTAAGAGCTTGTGTATTAGATCTCGGTGGTAGCTGGGAATCACACTTGCCTTAATTCTATATAATTTCAGTTTGTAGGACTACATTGATGGATATATCCAAATTCAAGAGAAATGAAACAAAAAGGACCAAAACAGAAGAAATGAAAGTTCAAGGACCAAAGTGCAAATATTTGAAAGATGATCCGAAGGGCTAATCGAGAATGAAAATGTGCCAAGTACCAACTCGGTTTATCTTTTAGCTATTTACATTTTGGTCCTTTAACTCTTGTTCTTTTCCATTTTGATCCATTTTCTTCATTTTTTTCCTTCCAACATCCCGGACAGACGAAGACGTGAAAGACTCAAGGACGAACTTGTTGAAGATTTGAAATATTAGGAGAAGACAAAATGAGAAAAGAAGTTAAGACGTGAAAAGTAAAATTCGAAGACCAAAATGCCGTTTTTGAAACAAGCCTAGAACCATGCGGTCACATAGTTCGAACAACCATCCGACTGCATGGTTATCTCCAGTGACTTGGAAAGTCCATTCAAGAGTACCATGCGGTCACATGGTTAAGTTCAGTCGCGTGATTTTCAGTTTTAATTTTTGCTTCAAATTCTTATGGAAACAAGTCACGAGTAGGATATAAAAACCCTAGAGCCGTCAATTGAGAAGGAGAACACATTGGGAGAAAAGTGTCACATCTTGGAGGTGATTTTGCACCACAATAACGAAGAGAAATGCTAAGATTGACTGGATTAAATGTCAATTCTTACACCGGAAATGTCATTTCTTTCGGCCTCCTTAGTTGACAAGTCGTAATCTATCTCATCGGAGTCGAGTTCTCTCAGTCGGGGAAAATGATGGAGTATTATAGGGATTTTCATTATTTACTTTACTATTTTGATTCATATTTTAGGAAATACTATTAGTGTCATTTAGTAACTTTTATATCATTTCTTTCCTTAGTTATATTTTTGAAACCCTATATAAAAGGGGTTATGTGATGTGATAAAACAACTTGATTCTACGAAATAAATTTATTTCTTTCTCTAATTTCTATCTTCTCTTCTTTCTCTCTTCTTCTCTATTTTCCCCTCCTTTATCTTCTTCTCTTTCCTTTCCCCTTCTTCTGCAATTCTCCTACTACATCCGGCGTCAACTCAACTAGGCTAATTATGCTTTATTGAAAGTCAAATTATCTCAAACAAATGTTAGGACTTAACAAGGCATTTAGTGCTTTTGTTTTTTTAAGCACTTGTTTTTTCTGATTTTATTACTACTACTACTACTACTACTACTACTATTACTACTACTACTACTACTATTGTTGTTGTTGTTATTATTGTTATTATTATTTAGTTTTTGTACTCTCCCTTAAGTTTTTTAAATGACTCATGTAGTAGGCTTTAGGCAGATAACTCCCAAATCAGGTGACTTTAGGGCACCGAATTTTCAAATACCCTTACAGGCTTAATAACCCGAGTCAAGAAGATTTCGAAGAGAACAATTTTTTTCAAGCATAACTTCATTTCAATTTTCTTTCTAAATTACTCCTGTAATGAGTTTTAGGCTGATAACTCTCAAGTCAAATGATCTTAGGGCACCCGATTTTTAGATACCCTTATAGGCTTAATTACTTGAGTCATAAAGGCTTCAAAGAGATTTTTTTAAAATTTAAAATATATGCCTTGATCAATGCAATGCCTCTTATCATACACCTATTCAAGCAAATCAACCTCTAATTTAAGACTTTCTCCCAATTTTATCGTGTTAATCTAAGACAATCTATGCAAACTTTTTCACACAGGAAATCCACATTCACATCTGTATCTTTCTACAATAGTTAGATCACTCCAAACTATACTAAATTTGTTCCAAGTATAAATAATTAGTATGGTATGGATAAAGCATCTATGTCTAGCTAAATCAATCTATCAAATGCATGAATCAACTCATTTCATCACAATGTCAAACTCAATTTTATTGCACATATAATATCAAGTTTTGCAAGTTTAAGTTTCAATCAATCTAGCATGCTTCCTATCAGCCTCAAAATTTAATCATTATTGTTAGTCAAACTTTCTAATTCACACAAGCACACAACTAAAAAATTCAATGATTTTTTTTATAACTAAACAAACAATAACATACGAAAAAAAAAACTCAAGTTTTACCAATCCCCAAACATAGACTTGACATTGTCCTCAATGTCATAAAGCATACTTAAGAATGTAAGGAAATGGGGAAGAAAATGATGAAGGTACTCCCTAGATTTTTTTTTGTTGAATGTCGAAGGTACTATAAGTGGGGGCTCGACAATCTTTCTCATCATGTTTTTCCCTTGGTCTATGTTAGTTTCAATGTTCTACGACGTCATGTTCCTGCAAATCAAACATTAGAGATCAAATAACATATAACATGTGTTACTTAGCCTAAACAATCGAATTAACCAATATTAAATTTAAGGGCCTAAGCGGAAACATGATAGGACGATGAAACCCTATAAATTTAAACGTGCCTAAATAATGCAAACTAGTAATCAAAACAAATCTAAATGCAATGAAATACAAAAAGTAAAATAAATAAAGGCTTAGAAAATTGGGTTGTCTCCCAATAAGTGCTTAATTTATAGTTTTTAGCTAGACTTTGTTGTCTGGTTACTCTACACTATCAAGTGTCACGGTTGTTTTCTCACTAGAGTAGTCACCTTCCCAATAAACTTTCAATAATTGTCCATTTACTTTGAACCTCCTTTGTTGATCCTGAGACACCATTTCCACAATACCATTTGGAAACACAACTACTACTATGAAGGGACCCGACCACCTAAACTTTAGCCTTCCAGAAAAGACCATGAGGCGTGAATTGAACATCAATACTTGCTAACCAACCTCAAACTTCCTCTCTTATATCTTATCATGCCATCTCTTAGTCTTTTCCTTGTAGATCTTTGCATTCTCATATGAATCCAAAAAAAAAACTCATCTAGCTCATAGAGTTGGATGACTCTCTTATCTCATGCTGTCCTCATATTAAAATTGAACAAGTGTGTCACCCATTTGCTTTATTCTCTAACTTAAATAACAGATGACAAGCCTTTACAAATATTAATCGATATGGAGACATGCCAATTGGAGTCTTCAATGTTGTTCTATATACCCAAAGTGCATCATCTAGTCTTAGTCCAATCTTTATGTGATGTATTGACCGTATTCAAGAATCTTCTTTAACTCCCTATTGGAGATTTCCATTTTCCCACTAGTCTGAGGATGGTACGGAGTCTCTGTGTCTCACTCCATATTTGGTCAACAATGAAGCAAATAGGCGGTTATAAAAATGCTTTCCATAATTACTAATAATCTTCTTCGGGGTCCCGTATCTCGTGAAAATGTTATTCTTCGGGAACTAAGTTACCACTCAATCGTCATTAGTAGGCAAAGCCACCACTTCAGCTCATGTAGACACATAATCCACTGCCACCAATATTTATTGTTGACCATATGAAGAAAAAAATGGTCCTATGAAGTCAATTCCTTGCACATCGAATATCTCAACTTCCAAAATGTTGCTCAAAGGCATCGCGTTCTTCCTTGAGATGTCTTTTGTCCTCTGGCACTTGTCATAATTTTTTCATCATATAATGTGCATCTTTAAACAATGTAGGCCAATAAAAACCTGATTGTAGTACCTTTGCTGCTATCTTGATCACTGCGAAGTGAACCCCATATGGTGTAGAGTGACATGATTTCAATACTTGATGCTGCTCTACTTTTGGCACACAACGGTGAATGATATGATCTGGACCCTTTCTGTAAAGAATTGGATCATTCCAAAAGTAGTGTTTTAAGTCACTAAGGACTTTCTTCTTATGATGACACATATAGTCCTGTGGGATGATGGAGCAGGCCAAATAATTTACATAGTCAACATACCATGGCATAGTAATGATTTGAAAAAGTATTTTATCTGGAAAACCTTCATTGATCGCCTCTATAGGGTATGACTCATGTGATTCAAGTCGAGATAGGTGATCTGCAACAACATTTTGGCTCATCTATTTATTGCTGATCTCCAAATCGAATTCTTGCAATAGGAGTATCAATCGAAAAAAGTCTTGACTTTGTATCCTTCTTACTCATTAGATATTTTAATGCTGAATGATCTATGTAGACAATCACTTCTGACCCAATCAAATATGATTTGAATTTGTCAACGGCGAACACCACTGCCAAAAGCTCTTTCTCTATAGTCGTATAATTCATTTGAGCCTCGTCCAAAGTCTTACTGGTATAGTAAATAACATAGGAAATTTTCTCCTTGCGTTGACCTAACACTACCTCCACTGCATGATCACTAGCATCATACATAAGCTCAAATGGATAATCCCAGTCTGAGAAGCCAATACTGAAGCAGAAGCCAAATATTCCTTTAAGGTATGGAATGCAGTTAAGCACTCATCAGAAAAGTGGAA